TGGGCGGCCCCAGGCTGTCCGCCAGTGGCGGTAACCGGACTAGGCCGGGACGGATACATGCGTCCTGCTGCCGCCAGCTCCGCTCACCCTCCCCCACACGCCAGGTGGGGGCTGGGGTGTGAATGCACCCTCCCCCAACCCGGGGCACAGTTAAACTATCTGCCTGGGGTGCCGGAATGGCTCGGTCCAGCCCTGTATAGAAGCCATTACTTCCTCACAGATAATGGATTTATTTCAGATATTTCCTGATTTCCAAGGAAAAGGAGGGTGGAGTCCTATATAAGATAAAGGGGCACTAACCAGATATGGGAAGATGCAAAAGTTCAAGCCAGTCGCACTAGCAACCACTATTCTCTGAAGCACGGAGATCCCAGCTATCAACCTACAAGACATATACATCCGCCTTTCAATCTGAGTGTCCTACAGGAGATTCCCTTGATTTACCTGTTGGCAGGGCCCTCATCAGTGCTCCCTTTCAGTCTCTAGTCTGCACTTAGAGTTTTCTCCCTGCAGCTCAGCTATGAACATTAGGGATTATCATATATCAATACCTGGACAACTGCCTTCTTCAGCTCGTTCCTTTGAAGATACCTTGCAGCTGGCCAGAGGACCATGTACACGTTAGCACAACTAGATCTAAGACTCAATACTCCTAAATCAACCCTGACTCCAGGACAATGTCTGGAGTTTTTGGGGCCAAACTCAGAGTGCAAGTGAAAATGTTCCTCCTGCTTAATAGATTCAACATCCTGATGAGTCGGAGAGGGAGAGCTCATAAACACTGGCCAGGAATTGCCTCCAACTTCTTGGGCTCATGGTGGCCTGCACATTTGTGTCTTCACATTCCTGACTACACAAGGGCTGTGTCTACACTGGGCCACTTATTCCGGAAAAGCAGCCGCTTTTACGGAATAACTTGAAAGCTGTCTACACTGGCCACTTGCTTTTCCGGAAAAGCAATGACGATCTACTGTAAAATTGTCAGTGCTTTTCTGGAAAAACTATGCTGCTCCCGTTCGGGCAAAAGTCCTTTTCCGAAAAAACTATTCCGGAAAAGGGCCAGTGTAGACAGCGAAAATGACGATCGGGGCTTTTTTCCGGAAAAGCGCGTCTACACTGGCCACGGACGCTTTTCCGGAAAAAGTGCTTTTCCGGAAAAGCATCCTGCCAATGTAGACGCGCTTTTTCCGGAAATACTTATAACGGAAAACTGTTCTGTTTTAAGCATTTCCAGAAAAGGGTGCCAGTGTAGACACAGCCAAGATGTTTATAGATATAG